TCATTCTCCTCACTATAATCCACAACATACATAGCAGTAAGGATAGCATCAAAATCAAGATCAAAGATCGCTACACCAGCCCTGAGAAGCTCATCCCAGCGAGGGATCTCACTAGCCCCAGGGAACTGCTGACGCCAGGCGTCCGTCAGGCGGCCAAAGCAGCGCTGGGTGGCGTGGGCACCCCCACACTGCTCACCCGCGCGGTCGCCGGAACGAAGAACGTAGGTGCAGGGACCAGTACCCCCACCCCTCTGACGCCCAGCGTACCACTCACGAAGCTGCTGAGGCGAAGGGATGTCCCGAGAGCGCTGCTGCTGCTGCCGCTGCGAGCGCTGGCCACCACCACCGCCGCTACGCTGCTGGGTACCACTCCGACCAGATCCACCCCCTCCACCACCACTGCCTCCTCCGCTGCCGCCTCCACCGCCTCCACCTCCGCCGCCTCCACCGCCGCCGCTACCTCCACCACCACCGCTGGCACCACCACCACCGTCTCCGCCGCTGCTGCCACCACCACCACCACCCCCGCCACTAGTCCCGCCGCCACCCCCACTCCCTCCGCCGCCACCGCCGCCACCGCCACCGCCCCCTCCAGCTCCACCCGCGCCCTTGCCCCCCTTGCCCTTGCTGGAGCGACGTCTCCCACTAGGGGCAGACGCCGCGCCGACCGACTCAAGACCAAGCAGGTCGGCAGCAGCAGCAGAGGCAACAGAGGGCAGCAAGGGGGAAGGAGAGCACCCCTCAAAGATGGGGGTGCGAGGGTCACCACGAGAAGCACCTACAGCGACGATGCTTTTCTCCGCTGCGAGGAGGGCCTTCTCGAGGAGGTCGACGGTGAGGGTGGTGGGACAGACTGCGAGAAAGTGGTCCCTGACGACTCGAAGGGAGTCAGGGAGGCGCGCGACTACGTAGTAGAGAGCGATGTACATGGGGGGGGGGTTCTTAGCGCAGAACTCAGCAGGAAGGGCGGCGCGGTAGCGAGTGTCACTAGTGCGGAGGTGCGTAATGAGGTCAGCGACAGTGGGAAAGGCAGAGAGGTCAGGAAAGAGGTAGGGAAGCATGAGACGGCTCAGTGCAGCAGTGGCAGGGGAGGAGTAGCGCGCAACTACAGCGTCGTACAAGGTCTGAGCACTCTTGTACTGACAGAAGTGCGCACGCTCAGAGGTAGGGAGGTGGCGACGCACAGCAAGACGTGCAGCAGCATCGCGGGTGGCCCACTTAGAGCGGACAGCGGGATCAGCATCAGCAGCAGGAGCAGGAGAGGCGCCAGAGGTGAGATCAAAGAGAGAAAGGTCGTCAGCCCTGTCGCACTGTAAGAACAGCTGCAGGTCGTCTAACCAGACCTCAAAATCAATGGCGCGACCCTCAGCGTCAAAAGCTAGGACACTAGGGGTAGCCATGGCGACGACAGCAACGCAGTGCAAGCAGCAGGGAAAGAGCTCGCAGTGTCAGTGGGACTGTGCTCACCAGGCAGGGCAGGTCGTGTAGGTATGCAGAAAGGCGGCTCGGGTGCTGGGCGGCTCGGCTGCTGGGCGGCTCGGGCGCAGGGCGGCTCGGCTCCCGGGCTGCTCGGCAGCTGGGCGGCTCGGGTGCAGGGCGGCTCGGCTCCCGGGCGGCTCGGCGGCAGGGCGGCTCGGGTCCCGGGCGGCTCGGCGTCGGGCGGCTCGGCTCACGGGCGGTTCGGCTGCTGAGGCGGCTCGGCCAGGAGATGCAGGGGCGGGGCCGTCAGGTGCAGCGTCGGGTTGACCGGTGCAGTGGCGGGCTGGCAGGTGCAGCGGCGGGCCGGCAGGTGCAGTGGCGGGCCGGCAGGTGCAGCGGCGGGCCGGCAGGTGCAGGCGGCGGGCCGTAGGGTGCAGTGGCGGGCCGTAGGTGCAGCAGCGAGGCCGGCAGGTGCAGCGGCGAGGCCGTCAGAGGCGGCAGGCCGCTGGGTGCAGCGGCGGGCCGGCAGGTGCAGTGGCGGGCCGGCAGGTGCAGCGGCGGGCCGTAGGGTGCAGTGGCGGGCCGGCAGGTGCAGCGGCGGGCCGGCAGGTGCAGTGGCGGGCCGGCAGGAGAGGCGGCGGAGCCGCGTCAGGGGAGGCGGCAGGGCCGCGTCAGGGGAGGCGGCGGAGCCGCGTCAGGGGAGGCGGCGGTGCCGCGTCAGGGGAGGCGGGGGAGCCGCGTCAGAGTAGGCGGCGGGGCCGCGTCAAACAGGCGGCGGGGCCGCGATCAGGAGAGGTGGCGGGGCCGCGTCTGAGGGACAGCGGGGCCGCGAGGGAAAAGGCGACTCGAAGGGGGTCGCTAAAAAAAAAAAAAAAAGGGCGCGCCTCGGGGCGCGCTTCGGTGGGCCCTAAAAAAACGGTCCTAAGGTAGGACCCGCTCTATACCATGTGAAGTAAAGAAAACAGGAATGAAATGACTAAGGAAAGATTGGGTACAAATACAACCCTAGAAACCCTGTACCCCATATGTGCTACCCCACTATAGCCTACAGCAACTATGTCATATAAATCTGACATCGACCTGCTCTGATAGCAGGTCGATCCCCTTGGCGCAGAACTCAGCAGGAAGCGCAGCGCGGTACCGAGTGTCACTAGTGTGGAGGTGCGCAATGAGGTGAGCGAGTGTGGGAAAGGCAGCAAGGTCAAGGAAGAGGTACGGTAGCATGAGGCGGCTCAGTGCAGCAGTGGCAGGGGAGGAGTAGCGCGCAACTACAGCGTCGTACAAAGTCTGAGAACTCTTGTACTGACTAAAGTGCGCACGCTCAGAGGTAGGCAGGTGGCGACGCACAGCAAGACGTGCAGCAGCATCGCGTGTGGCCCACTGTGAGCGAACAGTGGCGTCGGCATCAGCAGTAGGGACAGGAGAGGCACAAGAGGTGAGGTCAAAGAGGGAGAGACCGTCTGCCCTATCTCACTATAGGAAAAGCTGCAGGTCATCTACCCAGACGTCAAAGTCAATGGCCCGACCCTCAGCGTCAAAAGCGAGGACACTAGGGGTAGCCATGACAGCAGTAGGCTAGCAGCGCGAACAGTAGGGTAAGGGCACTGCAGTGACAGAAGCGCTGCTCTTACCGGACAGGGTGGCTCGGGCGGCTCGGCAACTCGGCAACTCGGCGGCTTGGGCGGCTCAGGCGGCTCGGCGGTACGGCGGCTTGGCAACAACTGCGGTTCGGCGACTCGGCGGCTCGGGCGGCTCGTCGGTACAGCAGCTCGGCAGCAACTGCACCCGGCGGCTCGGGCGGCTTAGGTGGCGCGGCGGCTCAGGCGGATCGGGCGGCTCGGCACCAGCTCGGCTGCGCCGGCGGCTCGGTGATGACGGCGGGGTCGCGTGGGCACGCCGGCGGGGCCGGGTGGAGCGGCGGCGGGGCCGGTTGGAGCGGCGTCGGGGCCAGTAGAGGCGGCGTCGGGGCCGCAGGGGTAGGCGACGGGGCCAGTAGAGACGGCGCCGAGGTAGGGAAGGGCGGCGCCGGGGCCGCAAGGGTAGGCGACGGGGCCAGCAGAGGTGGCGCCGAGGCAGGGAAGGGCGGCGCCGGGGCCGCAGGGGTAGGCGACGAGGCCAGCAGAGGCGGCGCCGAGGTAGGGAAGGGCGGCGCCGGGGCCACAGGGGTAGGCGACGGGGCCGATAGGGGAGGGAGGGGTCGCGAGGGCGGCTTGAAGAGGCTGCATGGGCGGCGTGAAAGGGCCGCGAGGGCGGCGCCGCGCGACGGAGCTGCGAGGGCGGCGGATCGGGGCCGCGAGGGCGGCGCGACACGGCCGCTAGGGCGGCGCGACGTGAAGGGGCCGCGAGGGCGACGCGACGAGGCCGCAAGCGCGGCGCGACGGGGCCGCTAAGGCGGCGTGTTAGGGTCGAAAGAGCGGCACGACGGGGCCGTGAGAGGGGAGCGCGACTCGGGCTGTGTAGAGCGTGCTCCGGGCAGGAAAAAGGTGGTGGGCCCTAGGAGCAGTTTCCACAGGGGAACCTGCGCTGATACCATGTGAAAGTAAGAGGTAGAAAGTTTAGGCAAAAAGAGAGGGGTTCACTAGGAAGCAGCAGGATACATATATGAAACCACTGCAGGCTAGAGAACAATAACATTCTGACAAGACTCTGTCGGAGGAAACTCGGAGGAGTGAGGGGCGGGGCGCTGCCGCCCCTCGACGCAGGGAACGCAAGTAGGGGCAGGCCCCAAAGGGAGGGGAGAGAGGGACCGGGGGAGACGAGAGACAAGGACACGAAAGGCCATGGCTCGGAGACGAGGCCAGGAGGGGTGACCAAGGCGGTGGTGCCAGAGGAGAGTCTGGTGAGACAGGAGATGACACGAGCAGGGGGCAGACTCAGGACCAGACCTGGACGTCGCAGCAGACGCCTGACCCGACGCAACTACCTGACCAGACGCAGTAGGCTGAGGAGGACCAGTAGTCAATGTATACAGGCTCGTCCGAGCACACGTGCAATGGGTCACTCGCTGACTCGTAGGAGTGAACTGGTGAACCCCCCATCCTATAGATCTGCACCACTCACCAAGTTCGTAGAGAACGAGGGGAGGTAAAGACCTCACAGGGTGCCAGAGGGGGCCGCCGGACACGGAAAGATAGTAGAGAAGTGGGCAAGGACAGGAACCCCGGAGGGGTCTGCCAAGGAGACCGCCACGGGCCGACTAAGCGGCGTGAGTGTGGTGCGGTCTCGAAAGAAGGAGCGAGAAGCACCCGAGTCAAGGGTGAAGGTGTGGGAGACTTGAGCCGATGTGGTACCTGAGAGAGCAAACTCACCAGTACCTGGGGCAGCAGACGCACTAGCACCGAGAGCAGTAGCCTCACCAGCACCTAGAGCAGCAGCCTCACCAGCACCTCGAGCAGCAGCCTCAATGCCCGGGTCAGGCGGAACACACAGGTATACGTCACCCTCATCACTAGTAGACACATCATACATGGCAGCAAGAATAACATCATAGTCAAGATCAAAGATAGCAACCCCCGCCCTAGACAGCTCTCCCCAGCAAGGGATCTCTGTGGCGTCAAGGAACTGGTGACGCCAAGCATCCGTCAGGCGGCCGAATCATCGCTCGGTGGAGTGCGAGCCCCCGCACTGCTCACCAGCGCGGTCGCCGGTACGGAGGACGTAGGTACAGGGACCAGTACCCCCACCGCGTTGACGCCCAGGGTACCACTCACGAAGCTACTGGGGGGACGGGGTCTCACGAGTGCGCAGCTGCAGCTGGCGCGGACCACCTCCGGAACCACTCCTCTGTGCAGAGCCGCGACCAGCTCCACCACCGCCGCCGCCGCCTCCGCCACCTCCACCGCCTCCGCTCCCTCCGCCACCGCTGCCGCCTCCTCTCCCTCCACTGCTGCCACCGACACCTCCACCCCCGCCACCACTCCCACCACCACCCCCAGCCCCTCCACTGCCTCCACCGCCACCTCCACCGCCCCCGCCAGCCCCTCAAGCGCCCTTGCCCCCCTTGCCCTTGCCGGTGCGGCGTCGCCCGCTAGGGGCAGCCGCAGCGCCGACCGACTCGAAGCCAACGAGGTTGGCCGCAGTTGTAGAAGCAACAGAGGGCAAGAGGGGGGAGGGGGAAGACCCCTCAAAGATGGGGGTACGAGGGTCACCACGAGAGGCTCCTACAGCGACTATGCTCTTCTCTGCTGCCAGGAGGCGTTCCTCAAGGAGGTCACCGGTGAGTGTGGTGGGGCAAAATCAGAGGAAGTGGTCCCAAACTAAGTGAAGGGAGCCAAGGAGCCGGGTGACTATGTAGTAGAGGGTGATGTACATGGGGGGAGGGTTCTTGGAACAGAACTCAGCAGGAAGCGCAGCGCAGTAGCGAGTGTCACTAGTGCGAAGGTGCGTAATGAGGTCAGCGACTGTGGGAAATGCAGCAAGGTCAGGGAACAGGTACGGGAGTATGAGGCGGCTAAGAGCAGCACTGGCAGGGGAAGAGTAGCGTGCAACTACAGCGTCGTACAAGGTCTTAGCACTCTTGTACTAACTAAAGTGCGAAGGCTCAGCGGTCGGTAAGTGGCGACGCACAGCAAGACGGGCAGCAGCATCGCGTGTGGCCCACTGTGAGCGAACAGTGCTGTCAGCATCAGCAAGCGGGGCAGGAGAGGCACCACAGGTGAGATCGAACAAGGAGAGTCTGTCTGCCCTATCGCACTGTAGGAAAAGCTATAGGTCATCGACCCAGACCTCGAAGTCAACAGCACGACCCTCAGCATCAAAGGTAAGGACACTGGGGTTAGCCATGACAGCAGTGGTCTAGAAGGGAGTGCTCTTACCAGTCCGGGTGGGTAGGGCCGGGGCGCGCTGGTAGGAACAGGGCTGCAATTGTGGTGGCAGCGGCTCGGCAGTGGTAGTGGTGGCTCAACGGCAGCGGCTCGGTAGTGGCGGCTCGACGGCGGCCTCGGCGGCTCGGGGGCTCGGCGGCTCTGCTGCTTGGCGGCTCGGCGGCTCGGCGGTTCGGCAGCTCGACGGCTCGGCGGCTCGGCGGTTCGGCGGCTCGGGGGCTCGGCGGTTCGGCTGCTTGGCGGCTCAGCGGCTCGGCGGTGAAGGGTCCGGGGAGGGGTCAAAAGGGGGGGCGACGGGGCCGCAAGGGGCGGCGACGGGGCCGCTAAGGGCGGCGACGAGGCCGCGAGAGGGCGGCACTGGGGCCGCGAGAGGGCGGCGACGCGGCCGCAAGAGGGTGGCACTGGGGCCGCGAGAGAGGGCGGCAACGAGGCCGCTAGGAGCGGCTGCGAGGCCGCAACAGGCGGCGACGCGGCCGCTAAGGGCGGCGGCGGGGCCGCGAACGGCGGCGACGGGGCCGCGAGAGGGCGGCGACGGGGCCGTGGAGGTGGGGCCGCAAAGGGCCGCTGAGGGCGGCGCGATGGGCCGCTCAGGGCGGCGCAACGGGCCGCTAGGGGGCGGCGATGGGGTCGCGAGGGGCCGTGAGAGGGTGGAGCCGCTAAGGGCGGCGCGACGGGTCGCTAAGGGGAGGGTGGCACACAGGGCGCGCCTCGGTCAGGGGCGACTCGATCCCAGGGCAGGAAAAAAAAAGAAAACCTGATTTTCACTGGTGGGCCTTTGGAAAAGTTCCCACTAGGGAACCTGGTCTATACCATGTGAAGAAATGAGGAAATGAATGAACTAGCAAGCAGGGGGGTACAAGTAGGAAAACCTAAAAGTGTTGTACCCTATATTGTCCACCCCACTACAGCCTACACAGACTAGAGCATATGAGTTTGACGAAAACTTCTCCATCATGCCTATGTCGAAGCCTGTCGTTTGGTTTGCAGGGGTCTCAGTAGACTCCGCTGCTGGTCTTGTTGGTGTACCTCCTTCAGTTTGTAGGCCGGAGACTGGAGGTGGAGTAGGAGTAGTGTCAGGAGAGCCGTTAGAGGAGCTTCTATCCTCTTGCGTTGCCATGCCTTCTGAATTTGAAGGACTTGTAGGGAACTTGAATGTAGTTGAATTTGCCTTGACAGCTCTCATACCATGTTGGGCTCAGAACAGCCCTTAGGATCTTTTCAAGGCTATTTGTGACTACAAGTGTTGTATTTGCGGAAGTGTTTTAGTAATAAGTGTTACTAGAACGCTTGCGCTAGTGTGTGAGGGCAAGTTAGTTTGATTAAAGCAAGAAGATACAAGGTTTTATAAGAGTACAAGGAATATGAAAAGATGCAGCTTAATAACCGTTTTACTGTTGCTGTTGCGGTTCGATACAGTGACGACTCGGGCAACTGCTTAATAACGAGTTAGTTGTTTGTCCTTGCTGTCGCGCTGTACTTGTCAAGTCAAAGGTCGCTGACCTTTGACCTTCGCGTAACCTCCAGCAGTTACTTCTCTTGTCAACCTCCGATGGTTGACTCGCCGTTGTTCCTCTATAGTTCGCCTCGTTTGTAGTTCGGTGTTACGACACATAAGAAAAGTTTAATTAATTGTTTCCAACATTACCATGCGTCACATCAACCTCACAACACTCGGAAACCTTCAAGCTTCAACTGTCGTGCCCCAGGACAAAAGTTTTGACCCAGGGTTTGTTACACATTCGTGACGATAATGATATTGTTTTGCAGCCCACCAAATCATCTTGCCTAAACCACAGTATAGTGGAAGCTCTCAAAGTAGCTTAGCGGAATGATTGGATTAGGGTTGTGAAAGCATACAAGTAGGATCCCTAACAAAGTGTTGTACTCCCTAAGGAGCAACTCACTACAGCCTATCACAAATATAACATTTGACACACCCCCATAGGCTAAGTGAGGGGCATCAAAGCAAGCAAGGCGAGCACACGGTCACAAGACCAGTCAATGCAAGAAACAAGGCAAGCTCAGGGTGGATCTCAAGGACACCACACAAATTCCGAGCACATGCAAGTGGCCACAAGGCCAGTTCAAGGGTTCACTAGATTATAAATAGGAAACACAACAAGCAGAGCAAGAAACAAGACTACAGCAACTTAGGGCCAACCTCAACAAGCCCCAACTGCACACAGAACCTGTGGTGGTCACCAAGCGCTAAGGCCTTGGTGAAGACATCTGCAGTGTTGGCCTCTGAGGCCACAAAGTCCAGGCGGGCCTGGCCGCGTCGCTGCAGCTCTCGCAGGAGGAAGTACCTCACGTCAATGTGCTTCACTCTGCTCTCCAGTCGAGGCTCTTGACACAGGAGGATCATGGCCTTGTTGTCAGCGTACAAGGTCGGTGCAGAGCGAGGCCGCTCACCAAGGTCGGCGAGCAAGAAGGTCAACCAGCGAAGCTCCTGTGCCGCCATGGCACCAGCGTAGATCTCAGCCTCTGCGCTGGAAGTAGCCACAGACGACGACCGTGTAGACCTCCACGACACAGCACAGCTCCCAGACTGAAGCAGTAATCCTGAGTCGAGCGCTGAGTCTCCACGTCGTCAGCGTAGGAAGAGTCGCAGTGACCAGTCAACACCACTGGCTGAGTCCCTCCAAGCACAAGCCCCACTCCTGCTGTAGTCGCCAGGTACTTCGCCACCCTCACAGCTGATGTCCAGTGGACAGGACGGTGTCTCCCAGTCGCAACAAAGCGCGAAAGGATGCTGAGGGGAAAGGCGAGGTCCGGCCGAGTACAGGTCATCAGGTACATGAGGCAGCCCACCAGCTCTGCGTAAGGACCACTGGACTCGAAGGGCTCGTCAGGAAAGGGGCCCGCGAGTCTGTGGTCAACAGCAAGAGGAGTGGGCTGTGCGGTGGAGAACTGGAAGTCGAACCGCCGAAGGACCTGCTGCACCATGTGTGACTGCGTCAGTGTGATGGTGCGAGCGGCTCTGTCCCTGGTGATCTGCAGGCCAAGGTAGCGCTGCAGTTCACCCAGGTCAGTGCACTTGTGTCTCTTCTGCAGTTCCGACTTCACCTGAGCCAGCGCTGCCCTGTCTGCTGTAGCAAAGACCAAGTCGTCGACGTAGACAAGTATAAAGAAAGGAGTAGAACCCTCCCGAACAAACAGTGAAGGGTCGGCAATCGACGGTCTGAAACCAAGGTCACGAAGCGTGGAGCGAAGAGTGTCGTGCCACTCTCGGGGCGACTGGCGGAGACCGTAGACTGGTCGGCGCAGGCTCCACTGAGTCCCAGGAGGGAAGGTGTCAGTGAAGCCAGGCGGACGACGCAGCCAGATCTCCTCGTGCAGTCGGCCCTGGAGGAACGCAGTGGAGAAGTCGAGGGAGTGCAGCTCGTAGTCTCGCTGCGCTGCTATGTGAAGTAACACCCGAAGAGTAGTCATCTTCGGGGTCGGAGCAAAGGTCTGGAAGAAGTCAACTCCCTCACGCTGACTGAAGCCCCCAGCCACGTAGCGCGCCTTGAACACCGGAGGTGCTCCAGGCGGCCGCTTCACCTTGAAGAGCCACATGCCATCGACTACGTTCGCCCTAGGAGGGGGAACTGCGTCGACGTAAGTGCCTGTGGATCTCCAAGACGCCAACTCTGAGTCCATAGCCGCTTTCCACTGAGAGGCCCACTTCCCTGACACAGCCTCGCGGTAAGTGCGAGGAGTCGGTATGTCCAGGGCGTCGGGGTCTCCCTCAGGGGAGAGCAGCATGGCACAGACAGAAGGAGAAGCGGCTGCCCAGTACTCGAGCTCAGACTCCCTGTCCTCTAGGACGTCACAGCCAAGGGCAAACTCACCCCCGACGGACAGAGGACGGTAGGGAGGAGCAGGGACCACACGGGTAGCGTAGTCAAGGCGGCTAGCGGCAGCAAACTCAGCGACAGCGGCAGTGAGAGCGGAGGCAGACGACGGGGGGAAACGAGAGTCGGTGACAAGAGTGGCTAGGACACGGGAGGCAACAGGACGAACAGTGCGGTAGTAGTCAGTGATCGGAGTGGGGAGGGTGGGGAGAGAGGACAGAGGAGGAGACGGGAGAACGGACACAGGAGACGGAGAACGGCGACGAGACGAACACAGGAGGGCAGTGTGGAGGTCAGTAACAGGGGACGAGTGACGAGCACGCGGGGGACAACGGGTGACCAAGTCACGACTGTCTAGGACTACAGGAGGAGGAGACTGTGGCGGAGAGAACGACCTGACTGCTGGACTGGCGTCCGGAGGAGGAAACGTAGGACCAAACACAGGAGGAGAGGAGGAAAGGCCAAGGGCCCGCAGGCCACTCACAGGGGGGAACAACTGCCGCTCCAGAGGGAGCTGTGGCAGCGGCTGCGGCGGCGGCTGCTGCTGCAGCTGCTGCGGCGGCTGCTGCTGCTGCTGCTGCTGCTGCCGCTGCTGCTCCAGGAGGTCCAGTACCCGCAGCTCCTGCCGCTCCCTCTCCAACCGCTCCTGCTCCTCACGCTCACGCCGGCGGGCAGCCTGGAGACGTGTGTCGTGGCGGTGGGGAGGCGGAGTGGACTCCGCAGACCCAGGGTCAGACTCCTCAGACTCAGCACCCCCAGAACCAGCACCTCCAGCTCCAGCACCCCCAGAGCTAGCGCCACCTGCGCCAGCACCTCCAGCTCCAGCACCCCGCGACCGAGTACCCCCAGACCGAGGACCGCCAGCGGCTGCACCTCCAGCTCCAACACCAACCGAGTCCACAGTAACCTGTCGCGGAAGTGCCGAAGGCTGCTGAGGGGACTGTGAGGAGGACTGTGGGGAGGGAGACGCTACCTGACGCGCGACCGAGGGTAGAGGGGTAACGTGGGACACACCAGACGGGGCAGGACCAGGGGGGGGCGGGGGTACCGGAGGGGCGGGAGCAGGAGGAGGAGAGGGTGCGAGGAAAAGAGGGGGAGGGGGTACCGGGAGACCTCGACAGGGGTACCGGGTGTAGTAGGACACGGACTCGTCAAACCGGACGTCACGGGAGTCTAGGAACTGGTGGAGGGGAGGGTGGTAAACGGTCCAGTCAGCAGAGCCGACCAGGAACCCAAGGAAGACACAGTCGATGGCGCGTGCCGAGAGCTTGTCCGCAGAGGTGTCGCGGACTTGCGCAAGGCAGCCCCAGACTCGAAAGGCCGACCCAACACCAGGGGAACCAGTCCAAAGACTGGTCGGTGAAGCCTCGGGCCGCGAGACACGCGGCTGGAGGTTCAGCTGGTGTGCGGCGTAGCGAACCGCGTAGGGCCACAAAAAATGGGGCGCACGGGCGTGAATCATGGACGTGCGAGCAATGTCCATGACCATGCCAATGCGGCGCTCAGCAACCCCATTTTGCTGTGGGGACTCTGGCAGCGTCCAGGACTGGGTGATGCCCTGTTCGCCGCAGAATCAGGCAAGAATGCCGGAGCGAAACTCGCCCCCTCGGTCGGAGTGGAGACAACTGACTCGACGACCACGAGTGCCCTCAGTGGCCAAAAGCCACCTGATCAGCGTAGCAGTCACCTCGGACTTCTTCGCAAGAGGGAACACTGTGGTGTACCTGGAGAAGTCGTCGACGACCACCAGAAAGTAGCGCTCCCTCCCGGACCCCTGTGTCGGGGCAGGGCCCCAGACGTCCAGGTGGAGAGTCTCGAAGGGAGCGGTGGCCGGACGAAGGGAGGAGGAGTGGGGAGTGGCGCGTAAGCGACCGGCGACGCACGGAGAGCAAGGAGGGGCAGGCGAGAGAGGGAGCGACGGGAAGGTGCGTGGGAGACCTGAGACAAGTCCCTGACTGAGCATGCCACGTAGGCGAGGGAGCGACGGGTAGCCAAGGCGGTGGTGCCACAGGACGGTGCGGTGGGTGAGAGAGCGACAGGAGCACGACGCAGCGACGGGGCTGGACACAGCGACCGGACCGGACACTACTACCTGGCTAGACACAGCAACTGGACTGGGGACCTGGGCCGGAGGGGACGCAACGACCTGAGGGGAGGACGCGACCGGGGAGCGCTCGGTGTGGAGGACGTAGAGACCGGAGCGGGGCTCCCGGGTGAACGTGGCCAGAACAGCACCTGTGGTAGCGTCTGTACAGACTGCAGTCCGCCCACCCCCCACGAAGGTAACCGTGATCCCCCTGTCCTGGAGGTATCCAACACCCACCAAGTTCCGAGTGAACGAGGGGATGTGGAGGCCGCGTAGGACACCAGAGGGGACCACAGGGCAGGGGAGGGTGGTGGAGCTGCGTGCAACGGCTGGTCCTGAGGTAGGATCAGCCAGAGCCACCGACACAGGTGTGAGGAGTGGGGTAAGGGTCGTGTGGTCGCGGAAGAAGCACTGAGACGCGCCCGAGTCCACCGTGAACGACAGAGAGGCCTCAGCCGGAGGATCACCTGACTCAGTCGCTACACAAGCACCTAGAGCAGCAACACAAGCACCTAAGCTAGACAGGCACAAGGCTACACTAGCAGGAGGCAAGCAGGCTAACCTACGAACACGCGAGCAAACAGATCCATCAGCACTAAAGTCAGCATCAACAAACAAAGCATGCTGACGCGCATCGTCCATGGACAGATCAAATACATCAATCTTACGGGCTAACAGACGAGACCAGCGAGGCGTGACCGCCTGAGGGCCCCAGCGAGCCCGGTAGAGGTCGTCGAGGCGGCGGAAGCACCGCGCGGCAGAGTGGTCGTCGCGACCACAGAGGCAGGGGCTGCCCGGCCCGGTGAGGCACCAATGGGTGCAGGGGCCCCCGTCACGGCGAGGGGGACGAGGGGCCCAGCTGGAAGTGCTGCTGCTGCGGCCGGTGCTCCCTGGGCCTCCCTGACCCCACTGTGGCGGGGGACCCCAGTGCTGCTGCGGACCCCACTGCAGCGGAGGGCCCCACTGCTGGAACTGCTGCTGTGCCTGCTGCTGCTGCTGTCCCGGCTGCTACTGCTGCACCTGCTGTGGTTGCTGCTGCTGTGGCTGCTGCTGCTGTCCACCCCCACCGGTCGGACCACCACCAGTAGGCGGGCCTGTCTGTCCTGCACCTCCTCCAGGGCCCCCTCCTCCCGGTGCACCACCACTGCCGCCGCCGCCGCTGCCGCCGCCGCCCCCCCCACCACCGCCACCTCCACCGCCGCCTCCACCGCCTCCACCTCCCCCCCTACCGCCCCTCTTGCCGCTCTTGCCCCGTTTCTGCCAGTCTGCGGCAGAAACGGCAGCAGTGTCCTCAGAAACCGACACAGTAGCAGAAGGACGGGTAGCAGTGAACGTGGGAAGCTGGGGGGCGGCACACCCCGCAAAGAGACGAGGAGCCACCGCGTTAGTGGCGGAGGCAACGGTGAGGAGGCTGCTCTCGATCTTCCCGAGAGCGGTCTCAAGGAGATCGATGGTGAGCTCAGTGGGGTGCTGCTGCAGGAGCGCGTCGCGGGCAGTGGCAAGGCGGTCAGGGAGGCGGGTGACTAACCAGTGCACAGTGAGCCACAAGGGGGGGGGGAGCCGCTAGAAGCTGCTCGTCGGTACAGGCCGCACGGAAACTAGCGTCAAGCGAGCGGAGGTGGGTCACAAGGTCAGACACAGTCGCAAACGAGCCTAGGTCGGGGAACACAAACGGCATCATGATGCGACTGAGGGAGGCAGAGGAGGGGGTGGAGTAGCGGGCAACAATAGCATCCCAAACCCCCTTGGCTGTCTCCACCTGGTCAAAGTGGGCGGCCTCAGTCGGCGGGAGAAGCTCCGTCAGTGTGAGGGCGGCGGCAGCGTCACGCGAGAGCCACACGTCCCTGGCCAGGACCCGACGCTCGTACTCCGCCCGGGCCGTAGGGGTCGGCTCCGAGGTGGTCGGCAGGGCGGCGGGGGACGGGGGCTCCTGGAGGGCACCAGACGCGTGAGCCCACAGAGTGGCGTTGTCCTGTCGCTGACTGGTGAGGAAGCGCGTGGTCTGACGCCGCCAGGTACCGAACTCGATCGGGCGTCCCTCCGCGTCGAAACGGAGGCGACGGGACTCCATAGCGGACGTCATGCTAAAGGCGGCTGGAGCACGGCAGAGTCGGAGCTAGGAACGAGGAGGATGCTAGAGGCGGAGCTAGGAACGTGGAAGACTGGCACTGAGGGCGAGAGGCGCCAGTTGGAGAGCTAGGGAGAGAAACGGCTGCGAACACTAGGAGCGAAGGAGGCACTAGTGCGGACGCTACTCTAACCTACGCTACCGGCGGGAGAGAGAGCGGCTACCAGCCGCTGAATGGTAGTCCGATGGCAGTAGGGCTGTGAAGGGCCCCGCGCACAAGGTAGTGGTGGGGCTAGGGTTTGCAACGAACGGTGTGGGCGGTTTAGGGCGGTTGAGTGCGGTATATGGCGGTTTGCGGCGGTTTAGGGCGGTTTAGGGCGGTTTAGGGCGGTTGAGTGCGGTTGAAGGGCGGTATAGGGCGGTTTAGGCGAGGGCGGGCGCCTAAGGCCCGAAGTGGCGGGCGCCTAAGGCGCTGGCTGGCAGGCGCCTAAGGCGCTGGCTGGCGGGCGCCTAAGGCGCTGGCTGGCGGGCGCCGAAGGCGCTGGGTGACGGGCGCCTAAGGCGCGACGTGGCGGGCGCCTAAGGCGCGACGTGGCGGGCGCCTAAGGCGCGACGTGGCGGGCGCCTAAGGCGCAACGTGGCGGGCGCCTAAGGCGCGACGGGACGGGCGCCTGAGGTGCAACGTGGCGGGCGCCTAAGGCGCGACGGGGCGGGCGCCTAAGGCGCGACGTGGCGGGCGCCTAAGGCGCGACGTGGCGGGCGCCTAAGGCGCGACGTGGCGGGCGCCTAAGGCGCGACGTGGCGGGCGCCTAAGGCGCGACGTGGCGGGCGCCTAAGGCGCGACGTGGCGGGCGCCTAAGGCGCGACGTGGCGGGCGCCTACGGCGTGACGTGGCGGGCGCCTGAGGTGCAACGTGGCGGGCGCCTGAGGGGCGGGGTGGTGGGCGCCTAGGACGCGAACGGGCAGGCGCCTAGGGCGCGGTCGCGAGAGCGCCTAAGGTGCGAGCTGGAGGGCGCTTAGGGGCGCGGGCTGGAGGGCGCTTAAGGGCGCGGGCTGGAGGGCGCTTAGGGGCGCGGGCTGGAGGGCGCTTAGGGGCGCGGGCTGGAGGGCGCTTAGGGGCGCGGGCTGGAGGGCGCTTAGGGGGCGCGGGCTGGAGGGCGCTTAGGGGCGCGGGCGAGAGGGCGCTTAGGGGCGCGGAGGTCCTAGAAGGTAACCTAGCGTGATACCATCTCAAAGTAGCTTAGCGGAATGATTGGATTAGGGTTGTGAAAGCATACAAGTAGGATACCTAACAAAGTGTTGTACTCCCTAAGGAGCAACTCACTACAGCCTATCACAAATATAACATTTGACAGAAGCGTGGAGCAACTTAAGAAAGTGGTTTTTGTCTGAATAAAATGGGACAAAGCTAGTACAAGTTTATTATACAAATGACGCAGGATTTTGTTGGGGACTTAGGAAGTGGTGGAGTGTGGCCGAAACAAAATGGGTTGTAGTTGTACCTAGTTTGAAGTATATCCGTTATAGTGGTGGCATGTGCATCAGGTACTTGTTTGTACGTCCCGCCAGCAGCGAGTCCATCACTCGCGAAGCTTCTGCCATCACTGCCTCGTCGTCCTTTTCTCTGATCGTTCGTCGTCGCACCTCGCCGCCATGGCTAACGAATATGGGCCTCTGTCCATTATCATCTCTGCCACGTCAGCCGTCGCATCCGCCACGTCACCTCTCCGCCAGTTCATCTGGTCGGCTGTGCGCCTTCAGCTTTTCCTCGCCTCCACCTGCCTTTCCGCCATCTGCGCGCTTCCACTGCTACCCTTCCGCCTGCTCTCCGCCGCCCTTCGCGAGAACAAGGTGCGCGCAGGGGGGCGTGCCGGATGGCAAAGGCAGGTCGGATTTCGCAGCAAGAACGCGCGCAGTAAGGCGGCGGGGAGCTTGCGGGTTCCCTTTTCCCCAGATCCGTCCTCACCACACTCGACCTTGCCTCTCGCTTCTCCTCGTCGCACTCCACGTGCAGCCAGCCCGGTGTGCCGCCCGCCGCATGGGCACATGAGCGGTCGTTACAACCCGTTCGCCCCCTCGCCTCGCCGTGCAGATCTCCCCGTCCCCGCGCCTTCCCTTCACCTCATCCCCTCCGCTGACCCCCATCCCTCTTCGCCTCTTCTCCATCCGCCCTCCTCGCCAAGACGCGTCGCACGAGTCTTGCTACCGCCTTCGCCTTCGCCTTCGCCTCCAACTTTTCTCTCCCGGCCTCCCTGCCCCCCGTTCTCCCCCCGCCCCCCTTCTCCTCGTGCCCTCCCCCTCCCCCCCAGATGCGCGCAAGCCTAGCGGAGGCGCAGCAGCAGGGCGGGTACTGGCGCGAGGCGGCGGCGGCGCTGCAGCAGCGCGCGAAGCGGGAGGAGGCGGCGAGGGAGGCGAGCGAGGCGGCGGCGCGCGAGGCGGCGACGCGGCTGAGGAAGGCGCTATCGCAGCGCGCGCAGCTTAAGGAGTGCCTCCAGCGCGCCGTGCGCGAGGTGCGCGGAAAGGAGGGGGGAATGTGGGTGGAGAGATGGAAGCGGGGAGGTGGGGGTGGTGGGGGTTTGGGGAAGGTGTTGGCGCCGGGGCTAGGGTGAGTAGTGGTGTTGTGCAGCGCGCAGGGGTGGGAGGGTGGAAGTCGGAGTGAGTGGGGAGATATGGGCGAGAGAGAGAGTCGACATGCCATGTGGGGGACTGCCTCTCCACACTCTCCCCTCCTTCACTCGCCCCCCGCCTCATCCGTCTTCTCCATCTCTTCTACTCCTTTGTTTATTCGCCCCTCTCGCCCTCCCTATGCCCAATTGCTCCCTTCCCTTTGTGTTTTTTCTTCATGCAACACCATCCCGTCGTGCCGTCCTAATTGCACCCCAACACCACCTTCCGCGGGGCACATCAGCTGGGCGAGGAGGCGGCGGCGCGGCAGGAGGCAGAGAGGGCGCTGGCGAGGGAGCGCCACCGCGGTGCGCGCCTGCATGCCGACCTGCACGCCTCGAAATCGCGCTGCTCTCAGCTCCAGGCTGACCTGGCGGCTGCCAGCCTGGCACTCGGGCGGCTGAGGGAAGAGCTGGCGGCGGCGACTCAGCGGCTGACGGCGTGCCAGGTGGCAGCGGAGGAGGCAGCAGCAATGGAGGAGAGGCGAGGGGGGTTGAGTGGGGGGGAGGCGGTGTGGGGTGGCGGGGGGGGCGATGAGCAGGATGCGAGCAGGGGCAGGGAGGGGAGAGGGCAGAGGGGAAGGCGTGGGCGTGGGGGTCAAGTGGGGGGGACGACGAGGGTGTTTCAGGGGCGGGGAGAGGTGTGGCAGGGTGAGGAGGAGGGTGAGGGGAGTGAGGGAACTACGTCTGCATGCACCACCACCTCCTCCGGTTCACACGCCCCCACTGCCACGCCACCCCCCTCACATCGCTCCTCCTCGCCTGCTCTCCCCCCATCACAACACCCCCAGCCCCACACGCTGGCCCTCGCCAAGGAGCCCCTGTTGTGGCGGGCAGCCCTCAAGTCCACTGCGGCTGCACTGCTGCTCGCCACGCTGCTGGCGCTGCTCGCCTGCATGCAGCCGCATTGCTGCCCGCCCGCCCTCCTCACGCTGCTCGCCCTCACTGCCCTCGCTGCGCTGCTCTCCGCACTCGCCCTCGCCCTCGCCATGCCCTCCCGCCGCCCCTCTGCCTCGCCCGCTCTCTCCCCCGCCTCCTACCGCGCTCGCATGGTGGCAGAAGCAGCGGTGGCAGCGGTGCCGCTCCTCTGCGCCTGCTGGTTCGCCCTCGGCCTCCTCCTGCACTCCATGCCCCCCTGGCCTGCCGTCTCAAAGGCACTCTACTCGCATGCCCCCGCCTCGCTGGAACGTGCAGTCTCAAGTTTCTGGTTTTCTCCCTGCAGTGCTGCTCGCCCATAAGATGAGATTCAAGGCATTGGTTGGGCAGAGGCAATAAACAGCCGTTTGCCCATCAACACGCACCGCTCGTCTGTTGCCATGGCTCCGCACGGTTTGCCCTGTCCTCTCTGTACATATGCTATGACCATGGCATCACGTTCATTCTTCACCAGGTTGTGGAGACTCGGACTGGTGTTGTTGGGCTGGAAAAGGCCCTTAGGAACTTTTCAAGGCTAAGACCACGAGTAGGAATGTTGTAATTGCAGAAGCGTTCTTAGTGAACTTGTTGAACTAACTTGCACTAGTGTGCGGGAACAAGCGATTGATTATACGGTAGCAAGGGAATACGAAGGCTTTTATAAGATTACAAGGAATATGAAAGGGTGTAAACTGTCAAATGTTGTAGCCTGTAGTGAGGTTTGTCTTAGGGGGTACAAATGTTGGGGTTTGCTATATGTACCCCAACCCTCATAAAAAACACAAAACTTGCATTCTTGACATGGTATCACCTAGGTTAGGATCCTGTGGGATCCCGCTCCTCCCGTCCTCTTTCGTTCCGCCCGAGCCTGTCTCTCTTTCTCGTACTAGTCGTACCCGTCTTGCCCGAGCCTAGCGCCGGCCCGATCCAGTCTCCCTCGTTCGTTAGCGCCCGCTCCGCCGACCTGCTTTCCGCGTAGCGTAGCGTAGCGCCCGCTCCGCCGACCTGCTTTCTGCGTAGCGTAGCGCTCTCCCCGGCTTCCCGTCCCATCACACCCTCCCCCGCTGCTCGTCGCGACGTGCCCTCCCACCCTACCCGTCGCGTCTCGTCCTCCCCCCGCTGCCCCAAACGCCCGCTCGCGCGCCGCGCCTATCGCCGCGGCGCCCTTTATTTCCGTCGCCGCAGCGCCCCGCGTTTCGTCGCCGCGGCGCCCCGCATTTCGTCGCCGCGGCGACCCGCGTTTCGTCGCCGTGGCGCCCTGCATTTCATCGTCGCAGCGCCCCGCGTTTAGTCGCCGAGGCGCCCCGCATTTCATCGCCGCGGCGCCCCGCATTTAGTCGCCGCGGCGCCCCGCATTTCGTCGCCGCGGCACCCCGCTCTTCCCGTCGCCGCGCCTGCTCGTTAGGCCCGCTGCGGGCCCTCCCTTACAGCCGTCGCGGGCCCTCTTATAGCCGCCGCGCCTGCCCGTACCGCCCGCCGCCGCGCCTGCTAGTTAGGCCCGCCGCGGGCCCTCCCTTACAGCCGCCGTGGGCCCTCCCTTACAGCCGCCGTGGGCCCTCCCTTACAGCCGCCGCGCCTGCCAGTTCCGCCAGCCGCCGCGCGTCCTCGTTAGGTCCGCTACGGGCCCGCTCGTTAGGCCCTTCCTTCGCACCATTGCGCCTACTCGTTCAGTCCGCCGCGGGACCGCCCCTGGCCCCATTGCGCCCGTCACGGACTTGCCCTAGCCGCCAACCGTCCCTACCAGTGCCACCCACCGCCGGACTTGTCGCTTCTACTTATACTATGGGGACCCCTAGGGTTCTTCGGTTTGACGCTGACGATAGACCGCTGGAGTTTCCGGTCTGGCTCCTACGCGCGCGTCACCTTTTAGAGAGTCAGGTTCAGGCGGGCGAGTCCCTTTGGGCGCACGCTACTGGTGACCTTCCACTGCCCGACGACCCTACGCCTTTAGGCCCTGCCCCTGACGACGCAGCCAGGGACCGCTTCACCCGCCAGCGTGTTGACCTGACGGCGTGGAAGTCACGTGACGCTGCGGCCTGCATTGCTCTTAGCGGCCTCCTCCGTGAGTCTAAGGAGGCCCACTTCACTCAGGTTCGCACTGCTAGTGAGTTCCTGATTGCGATTAAGGCCCGCTATGCTACTCCCACCAGTGTCTCTCTTGGCTGACTCTTCCTACCGTTCCTGTTCCCTGACCTCGCCTCTTTTGAGCGCTCTGCTGACTTGATTGCTCACCTCCGCTCGCTTGATTTTAGCTACCGCGCTGCTTGCAGTGAGGCACAGCTTGCACTGCTTCCTCCCCCCATGGCGATTACTATCTATTTCATCGCCACTAGCCTCCCTGACTGCCTTGCCTCAGTCCGTGACACGCTTCTTCTGAAGCACCCTAGTGAGCTGACTATCGAGGTCCTTCAGTCTGCGCTCAAGGACGTCGAAAGCAACCTCCGCTCCGTAGCCTCTGCCTCTAATGCTGTGCCCCCTCCACTGTTCCACGGGTGCACTGTCCCTCAGCTGCCCACCTTTACAGCCTCTCTAGCCACTACTGCTACTGACGTGACCGTAGCTGCTATTACGACTTCTTCGCGGTCTCGAGGCAGAGGTGGCAAGAGGGGCGGACAGGGTACAGGTGGCGGCGGCGGTGGAGGCGTTGGCGGCGGAGGTGGCGGGGGTAGCGTGTAGACTGGTGGTAGAGGGAACGCAGGGCCTGGAGAGGCGTCTCGTGCAGCGGCCAGTGACTCCCCTAATGCAGCTGGTGGAGGCGACACCTGGGCTTGTCAGCCACCTTCTGGTCTACCGGCCGTGCCGAGTGGAGCAGCGGCGTGGTACCTGGCCCAGCGGCAGCAGCAGCCCCTCCCCTCGCAGTAGCCTTGCAGCAGCAGCAGGTTTCGGGGCCAAGACAGCACCAGCTCCAGCGAGGTGTTGTTCACCCTTCGTGCACCTATCAGCTTTTGATAGGTGCTCGCCGAGGCCATCCTTGTGGCCGCACTCACCCTCCTGGTCAGTGCTTTGCTTAGCTCACTGACACAGTTCGCTTGGCCTTCGGTTTGCGGTTCAGTACGCCGCGCATCAGCTCAACCTTCAGCCCCGGGTCTCCTTGCCAGAGACCTCCCCCGCCTTGCAGTGGACCGGGAAGGTTGGCGATGCGTCTACGTTTCGGGTCTAGGGATCTCGGGCGTTTGTCCGCGACTTGTCTGCGGACAAGCTGTCCCCCCGTGCTGTTCCTTGCGTCTTCCTTGGCTTCCCCCCTGACGCGCCTGGCTGGCAGTTTTACCACCCCACCTCGCGCCGTGTTCTGTCCTCCCAGGACGTCACCTTTGACGAGTCAGTACCTTACTACCGTCTCTTCCCCTACCGCACTACACCTCTCCCCCCGCCGCTGCTCTTCCTTGCACCAAGTCCTCCCCTAGTAGACCCCATCCCCCCTCAGGGTCCTGCCCCGTCAGGTGTGTCCCAGGTAGACGCACTCGAGCCTGTCGAGGTAGCTATTGACTCTGGTGCTGCTAGAGGAGCTGAGCCTGCGGGTGCTGGGTCAGGGGGTGCTGAGATTGGGGGTGCTGAGACTAGGGGTGCTGAGTCTGGGGGTGCTGGGCCTGGGGGTGCTGGGTTTGGGGGTGCGGAGCCTAGGGGTGCGGATCCTGGAGGTGCGGAACCTGGGGGTGCCGAGCCTGGGGGCGCTGGGTCTGCTCGTGTGGCCGCCGGCGGTCCTTCGTCGAGGCGGGAGCCGCTCTCTCCACAGGAGCTGCGCGAGTGGTTTGCCCGCCGCTGGAGACGTGCTGCTGAGACTGGGGGTGCTGCTGAGGCTACTGGAGTTGGTCCTGCTGGAGCTGCTGGCGGTACTGTTGCTATTGGAGCTCGAGCTGCTAGGGGTGTTGGCGCTGGTGTTTCTATTGGCGCTGGTGCGTCTGGGGGTGCTGCTGACGCTGCTGGAGCTGACAGTCCTACTAGACCTAGTGCTGCTGGGGGTGTTGGCGCTGGTGGTGCTGCTGGCGCTGGTGCTTCTAAGGGTGCTGGAGTTGGCGCTGGTGGAGCTGGAGGTACTGATGGCGCTGGTGCTGCCGCGGGGGGTACTGGTGCCGTCCTTGCTGGTTCTGGAGGCGCTGAGCGGCCGAGGCCGTACTTCGTTCCGCTCCTGGAGCAGGTTCTTGGTCTCCCGCCCTCTCCTGGTCCTCCTCCTTCCTTAGAGTGTCCACAGCCTGTCCAGTCGCAGTCACAGTTACAGCCCGCCTCCCCTCTACCTGCTCCTTCTCCCTACACTGGTCCTACTGGCGGTCTTGCTGAGCGTCGTGAGCCCGCGTCTCGTCCTGCGTTGCCTGTTCGTGCAGCTCGCACTAGTTGTCGTGTTGCGCGTCCGCGTCCTCCAATGGTCCCCGGCACACACCAGATGGCACTGCGTCCTTCCACTGCTCCTCTGCGTGTCCCGTTGCCATCTCCTCCAGAGTCCTCTATTCCTATTCTTGCTGACCCGGAGTCTGACTCCCTTCGTGCTGCTAGTCCTTCGGTCACGCGCCTTCTTGATACTGTTGTCACTGACCCTTCCTTTGAGTCCATTGCTGCGTCTGCCCTAGTTGCTGAGCTTGTCGACTTCGCTGCTTGCTGTCGTCTAGACTACGCTGCCGGTCTCGCTGCTGAGTCTGAGTCTGTCTGTCCTCCGTCCGTCGGGGGTGAGTGTGCTCTTAGCACGGACGTTCTTGAGGACAGGCAGGAGGAGTTCCAGTGCTTTGCTGCTGCTTAGCCCCATCTTGTGTCCACGCTGATTGCCCCTGAGGGAGACCCACATGCACCAGACATCCCGACTCCTCGATCGTACGCTGAGGCGATCAAGGGTCCCTACTCCTCTCAGTGGCAGTCAGCCATGGACGCAGAGATGGCTTCCTGGAAGTCCACAGGCAACTACGTCGACGAGGTTCCCCCACTTGGGGCGAACATCGTCAATGGCATGGGGATTTTCAGGGTGAAGCGGCCGCCAGGTTCTCCGCCTGTCTTCAAGGCGCGTTACATGGCTTGAGGCTTCAGTCAGCGGCAGGGAGTTGACTACTTTCAGACCTTCTCTCCCACCCCGAAGATGACCACCCTTCAGGTGCTGCTGCACATAGCTGCTTAGCGCGACTACGAGCTTCACTCTCTTGACTTCAGCACAACTTTCCTGCAGGGCAGCCTGCACAAGGAGATCTGGCTGCGCCGCCCTCCTGGCTTCACTGGGTGGTTTCCTCCTGGTACCCAGTGTAGCCTTCGGCGGCCAGTCTACGGTCTCCGCCAAGCGCCCCGTGGGTGGCACGATACACTGAGAACTACACTTGCGGCTCTTGGGTTTGCTCCTTTTATAGCT